AATATGAATAGAATAATTTTATTTTTGTACCTAATAGAGCAAGGGAAGGAGAACTTGGAAGTGAGGCTGCTTAAATAATATATAAGGCTTAGATAATTAAGATAGAAGAAGTGCTTTCTAGTTAGCTCCCTCAGCAAATTTCTAATTAGTGTGGCATGGCCTGTAGTTTAAGTAGTGTCTAGAAAGATGTTTCTAACAAAAATAAACACATGGACTCAAGCCATAAGAAAAGAGGCTTATTATAGGTCAATCACGAGTCGAAGAAGATAATTTTATAGACAAGAGCTACACAGCAATAACATGAATTAGTTGCAACATGTAATTAAACTTGGTTTCTAATAAATTTGAGGTTGACAACATTTTATTCCCGTCGCTTTTTTCGGTTTCATATTGGGTTTACTGGAAGAATATCAAAAACAACTAAAGCCTTGCAACCATAGATAGCCGCACTAGGTTTTGCTCTATCCCTTCACATTCGAAAATGTTTCATTGAGATTGCACCTTTATATGAACAAGAATCTCTTTACCTATACAGGTGACGTCCCAAATACATATCTCACCTTTCCTCAATTTATCACCAATTGTTATTGATGTGTTACGTCAACTAGTAGATGAACTTGGTCATTAAGAGCCTACTACTAACTACTTACATTTTGTTTTATATGGTTGTCTTGTCCATGTAATATTTCAAGTTGGCTCCCTTAGCAAATCTCTAACTAGTCTTATGTGGTGTGGCATGGGCTGTAGTTTAAGAAGCAGCCTCTCTCTCATTTTCTAGAAAGAACTATCTAACGGAAAATCCTATTATAGATCGATCACGAGCCAAAGATGAAACAAGAGCTACACGTCACATAAACCCTAATCTTTTGATTCTTCATATGATGATTACTCTACAGACGGAAAAGTGAAATTAAAGTGTATTCAATCGAGATTTTTAAAGATTTTTATAAATTTTTTTAAGAGATGACTTTTGTGAATTTCGTGTATGGAATTAATGGAAGTCTTTCGTAGACTTCAATATACTTTTATTTTAAAACTATTATAGATTTTTGTAGAATTTAGAAGATTTTTGAATACTTTCATTTAAAATAAAATTAACATGGATCTAGTGCAATAATGTGAAGTTTTCACATACGAGATAGTGGTTCCTACAATTCTCTCTTTCGCCATGTAATAAAAAATATTTTCAAAAGAACAAATTTAAGTCACCTTAATTAAATAAATAATAAGCAAAATAATATATATATATATATATATATCTTTTCTTTTTTTTGTGTGTGTGAATAGAAAAAAATTAATGTTCAGTATTATCAAATATGGCATACCTTTAAAGAGTAAACATTAAGTCAATTTATTTTTAAATTGGTATTTTGTATATAAAATCTTATAATTTAATTAAAAATAGATTTTCTTTTCATAAAAAATGGATGAAAAAGGAAAAAAAAAGGTTATAATTATATTTAGTTACAATTTAATTTTTTTTTCTTAGAAAACATAGATAAACAAGAAAAAAAAAATAGAAACAAATATAATCGATAGAATTTTTTTTTTTTAATAATGACTCCCATGTTTCATGAAGGAAAAAGAAAGAGAAATATTGAAAGAAATAAAAATACATATTAATATTTTTTGTTAAAGTCTTTCAAAATCTTGAGATGAATCATGAATGAAAGATAAATTTTAAAATTTTATTTTTGTACTTTTTACTTAAAAGTTAGTACTTCAGAGACTTTCATAAAAGTTTTAAAAGTCATTAACAAATTGAATACTCAAAGATTTATAGAGACTTTTAAAAATTTTAATTAGATACACCGTAACTTTTAAAAACTTTAAAAGTCTACAACCAATACTTTTAAAAAGTATCAAAAGGCTACACTAAATATTCCCTTACTTTTTAAATTCCAAAAAGTCTTTAAAAGTCCCGATTGAGTACACCCTCTAAGTGTTGAATTTTAGAAACTGATCATAGTTGCATCAATAACACGAATTAGTTACAACACTTGATTGAACATGATTCCTAATTAGTAAATTTACTAGAAGAATATCCAAAATAACTAAAGCCTTGCACCCATCGACAGCTACACTAGGTTTTGATCTATCCCTTCCTATTCAAAAACAAAAACGTTCCCTTGAGATTGCACCCTTCATACGAACAAGAATCTCTTTACGTACACGGGTAACATGTTTCAATTACATATATCGCCTTCCCTCAATTTATCACCAATTGTTATTAATGTGTTACATCAACTAGTAGATGAACTTGGTCATTAAGTGCCTACTAATAACATGAATTAGTTACAACACTTAATTAAACATGCTTTCTAATAAATTTGAGGTTGACAACATTTTACTCCCATTGCTTTGTTCGGTTTCACAGTAGATTTACTAGAAGAATATCCAAAACAACTTAAGCCTTGCAATCATAGATAGCCACAGTAGATTTTGATCTATCCCTTCATATTCGAAAACATTCCATTGAGACTGCACCCTTCATATGTACATTTAGTTTCATATGGTTGTCTCAACCATGTACGTAATAGTGCTATAGCATAAAAACTTCTACATATTTGGTTTAGCTAAATTAGTAGATTTTGATAAAATTAAATAAGTGCATGGTTAAAAAGTTAAAAATTATGGATCCCATGAAATGTGTAGTTAAAAATGAATTTTTTTTAAAAAAACAAGTTTTAGAAAATGTGGCCAAATGGGGGCCATATATTTTGATTTACATATAAAGAAGAAATATAAATGCATATAGATCACAAGTTTTCTTGCTATCTGTTTGTTAATGCAAAAGCTAATCGGGCAAATGATCTATCCAAAGGGCCTATGTCTTATTAATTGCTCTTGTTAGTACCATGAATAAGATTCTTGTATTTGTATTCTAACAAAAAGAGCAATCGAGAAAGAAATTGACTTACACCATCATGTTAGGCTAAGCTTACAGGTGCTTAAGCCTAGCCAAAAATGCTATTGTCTAGCTTTGGCTATTTTTTGCAGTAAGCATGTCTTCAGTGCAGAAATAAGATACCTATAAGCAGCTTATAAGTAAACATGCCATGTAAATAAGCAGCTTACAAGTAATTAAGCATGCCCTTATGAGTAGTTTGGTTTATACTTTTCTTTTGAGTAGCGCTATTTTAAGCTATTACAGTAAGTGTCCGCTTGAATTTTTACACGAAAAGTAGGGTTTCTAAAACCCCACATAATTAGTTTTGCAGCAATTGGAAACTCCAGCTATGAAAAAGTTCAGATACGTAGTGTAATGATTATATATATAAAAAAGGAAAATAATGATTTTATTGTACCTTATAGAGCGAGGGAAGGAGAACATGTAAGTATAATATACAAGGCTTAGGTAATTAAGATAGGTTAGCAAATGTTTAATTAGCTTTTTGTGGTGTGGGCTATAGTTTAAGTAGTAGTCTTTTTCTCATTTTCTAGGGAAAAAAAAGCAGATATTCACATCTCTAATAAGACAGATAAACATGTTGCTTAATCCATAAAAAACGATCAGAGTTGCGATTTACATAAACCATATATAAATTTTTGATGCTTCATACGACGATTACTCCACAGATTAGGAAAATGAAAATAAACATAAGGCTTCTAGAAACAGATCTCAATTGCATCAGTAGTCTAAATTAAATACGACATCTAGATTTACTCGAAGAATATCCAAAACAACTGAAGCCTCGCAACCATAGCAAGCCACACTAGTTTTGCTTAATCCCTTCATATTCTAAAATGTTGTCTTGAGTTTGCACTATTCATATAAACAAGAACCTGGTTACATCTAGAGAAAACATATCCCAAATACATATATCACCATTCTGGCCCTCAACTATTTATCGTCAATCATTACAGATATGTTACATTAACTAGTTGATGAACTTCGTCATTAAGTCCCTAGTTACTAAATATATTTAGTTTTCCACGTTTTTCTTAACTAGGTAATAGGGCTATAACATAAAAAACTTGGGTTAATCGATCTATTTGTACATAATGAATTATCCCTTCTCACATAATGCGCGAGACCCGCGTGTATTTAAAAATTCAGACAATGTGGTCCCCACCACCATTTTGAGTAGTAGGTAAAGATTCACTGAAAAAATTTGGTACATGCAGCATAATTCAAAAAAACTTCTATTACATATTTTGCTTTATAAAGAAGAGTGCATATAGACACTAGTTTTCTTGCATTTGTTCATTAATATGCTACAGCTAATCGAGAAAATGATCTTTCCAAAGGGCAAATGTCTCTTTATCAGGGTTACAAGTCCATCACTGATGGTCGACGGAGGTTTTTATGCAGTTGTACTGAATTCTTATTATTTTCTTGAATGTATGAACCTGCATATAAGCTTAGTTTATTGTTAAAGCAAAGACAGTATATTATATTGAGAACTTTAAATTTTAATTTTCTGATTTGATCAATGAAAAATAGCGTCCAGGTGGCGTTTCCCGTTGATGTTGGAGACATTTTCCGAACCACATAATTGTTCTTTTCTTTATAATTTTGCTCCGTTCTTTGATTTTACCAGTTTTGTGCTATGATCTGAGATTGAATGTCCTGTTATCATCGGGTTGGAAATATTCCCATTAAACTGGTTTTTTCAAAATCACTTTTACACCCCCCCCCCCCCCCCCCCCCCCCCCCCCCCNCCCCCCCCCCCCCCCCCCGCCCCACACATTTTCTATGACACGCTCTTCAAAAAATAAAAATAAAAATCATTGTTAACATTTCCTCAATTTTAACTACTTTTTAAGCCCCTTAAAAAAAATCACTTATCACAAAATCACTTTTCCAAAATCAACTTCACACAGGCTATTATCTACTTATAATTTAAAGGAAAAACAAGGAGGAAACAATATTGAGCCAATGAGTCTTTGACTCCATATGCAGATACGATCCCTTCCCACGAAAGCAGGTTTATTACGCAATTCATTCTGATGACGTAGAAGTTTTTGTTACTACAATTCAAGAGGGAAATCGATTTTTAGACTACTTGCATTGAATTTCCTGGCAGGCTCCTTGTCGTCCTACAAGAAAGCTGTCTTTTCTTCTGGGCGACTGTACAAAGTGAGTAGGGCCTCGAAGCTTCATCATAGTATAGTCCATTACTTCCACCAGAAAGTCTTGCATTGAAAGAAATAGTTTAAATAGAGAATAAAATGAGTGATTGTTCAAGTCACTAACAAAATAGCAATGATAAGCTGTGTGAATGATATGCTGTATAAACCTACCAGCATCCTCCTTAGAGAAACAAAGTGGAGGTGTAATTCTGAAAACATTTTCATAGTAGCCTCCCTTTCCAATCAGTAATCCCATAACTTCATGATCGAATAGGAGTTTAGTGTTTTGTAAGAATTATAAACTTAACATGTACACCAAGACAAACAATAAAACAAATGAAAACAGCTGATACCTTTCATTTGCTCCATCAAATACAGAGTTTCAACCCTTGCAGGAGTTTTGTGTCGGCGGTCTGTGACTAGCTCAACCCCGAGCATCAGTCCTCTTCCTCTCACATCCCCGATGACTGCATACAAAGATGTCAACCAAAGAAAATTATAAGTTAACAAATTATTCTTTTGGCATATGTGGTAGACTAATATATTGACATCTACTCTAAGGGAAAAAGGATTCCGGGACACTCATTTAAAATTTTTGTACCCTTTCGCCTTAATGTGAGGGGAAATTTTGAAGTAAGCTTTTAAATAAGACAAGTTCAATGAAAACTTTACTTTCATGCTTGGCTTTGAGGGCATTAAGACGGTGTTTCAGGTAGGATCCAACAACATGAGCATTCTCCTGAAGTTTTTCTTTTTCAATCACCCTGAGAACGGCAAGTCCTGCTGCAGTACATACAGGATTCCCTCCAAAGGTGTTAAAGTAAGTTCGATGAGTGAAGACCTCTGCAATCTCAGGAGTAGTTACCACGGCACCAAGAGGAATTCCATTTCCAATACCCTGCACTCCAAAGGTGAATAAACCCGATTATTTTCTAAACAAAGCTCCAGTGAAGCACCTTTTGGGAAGGAATTAAGGCGATGTTTACATTACCTTGGCCATTGTAACTATGTCAGGCACAACTCCATGGACCTCAAATCCCCAAAAATGGCTACCCGTGCGAGCAAATCCAGCCTGAACCTCATCGGCAATACAAAGGCCTCCTGCATTTCTGATGCTGCTATATACTGCAGGCAAGTAACCTGGAGCTAACTCAATAATCCCGGCAACTCCCTGTTATATAATGAAATAACTCATGTGAAAAGGCAATATCTTCGATTATTAGTGATCAATCAAAATTTCACTTCCTTTTGTTAGTTGTATCCAATAATGTTGAATCCACCCTACCAAACATGCGATCAAGGATCCAGAGAAATCATTCAAATATAGAAGGTGTTGACCTCAAAATGATGAAAATTATTTTTGAAAGCCAAAAGGAGTTTATCCCTCCCAATTTCCAATAGAATTTTACCTTTTTGGGGGATTTTGTGTATGTTTCCGAAGCCAAACCTTTGTATAAAGAGAAAAAGATGGAGTTTCCAGCGTTCTATTAGCCGGAAAATGATTCTTCATCAGTAATTTCAATTTCCAAAATGTCCAACTCCATATGTTTGGACACTGGGCAATTTTTAGGAGGAGTAAGCTTTCAGTCTTGAGAATTTTTAGAGTGAAAGTTGCATCCCTTTTCTATTGTGCAACGGTCTTATTTTAGGCGATTTTAGGGATAATTTAGTCATTTTTGTGAGTTAACGTTCACTCATTATGTTGGAGGTCATGTTCAAATCTCATTTTTAAAGCTTGTTGATGTTTGTACTTTGTAACACGTTCAGTATTTCTGTGTGCATCCATGGATTTAGTGCATTAAAGTCCATGTCGTTTCTTTCAAAATCCCCACTGAGGTTCCCATCCGTATCAAAGGTCAAACCTAGGCCTTTAGTCATGTTGCCTGCCGAGGCCTCCAATCATGTTTCGAGCCATTGCACATTCTGTTACTTCGGAGAGCCTCGGTGGTCGAGACATCTTTCATTCAACTGTGCCTCAAAGGTCAAGACACAAATATTCAAAGACATGTGGGAAAGCAATGGGCCCTTTTGTGACTGTTGTGGAATTCACATGGACCATAATTATTTCAGTATGTAACGGAAGGAGTTACCTGTATAGCTTCAGATATAAAAGCAGCAACATGGCCACAAGTCCCGAATTGAATTAGATCTTGAACATCTTTTGCATACATTTCACCATCTGAACCAAAGATCCCTCTGTATGGATCTGGGTTCACGGCATGATGAACTCCACTCTGTTCAAGTAAAGAAAAGAATCGGGAAATAATCGAGAAAAGCAGCTAGTGAACTACTATTGCAATATGTAATTTTATGCCTCGTACTTTGTTCCAAAGAATAGATTACATGTAGTAAATAGGTTGCACACACTGTCAAAATTCTGTTCAAATCTTTTACATGCAATGAAACAAGTAGATCAGCAATAATAATAATCAACAAAACCAAATCAGAAACACAACGAAGCAAACACAGATTTACAGAAGACCCTAAATGTCGGAGCTATGTTCACTTGTCACTGTAAGACGACTAGGAATTGCATTTTTACCTGTACAAGATTGAATTTCCAGTTACATAGTGCAGTGGCCGCCATGGTCCCAGCTTCATTTGCGTGGTACGCATTTCTCAGTGATATGATATCATGACAGCCTGTGTATAAACGCGCCATCGTAATAGCTAACTCATTTGCTTCTGTCCCAGAATTTGTGAAGAATACAACCTACATATTGATTTGAATTTCATTACCAATAAGCCCTCTCAAACTTGGACATTAATATACTGATCATAATTAGGCCATCAGAAAATGGCAAAGTGTACCTTAAGATCACCAGGCAACTTTGAGGCCAGTGCCTCAGCAAAATCAGCAATTGCATGATTTAGATATAAAACAGTGGAATGTTGCAAGTTTTTGGTTTGGTTTATAACAGCCTTAACCACATCAGGGTGACAATGCCCACACCCCACTGTGGCAATCCCACCGAAAGCATCGAGATATCTATGACCATCATCATCAAACACGTACTGCATCTTGCCGTGGACAAGATTCACCTGTATATAAAGCATTATCCAAAGTTTTCGACATCACTTGAGAATTTTTTTTCATCAAGACCTTAATATGAGGACAATTATTAAATATCATGGGTAGCGGTGAGACTTTTGATACTATATCGATGCACGTAGACAAATTTATTTATTCATATTTTATCTTCAATGGAAGTTAAGATATATATTTGGCAACAGTTACATGAATCCTTTTCCGTCACTATTCTCAATTTATTGTGCTGAAAGCTCCAAAACAACTGAATACAAAATTTGTTGCATGCGATTTGATGCTTGGATAATTATTAAAATTCTGTCAAGTATATAATCGCATTCTAATCTATAAAAAAAAATCATTCGCTGATAACTCACAGGGTTTTCGTAGTAGTAGTACGTAGATGGGCTGAGAAACTCTTTCCTCTTCTTCAAAACCTCATTGGCTGTCGGTCCGGTGTACAGCGGCGGGATGTAGTTGGAGAAGGGCAGTTTCGGAATAATGTCTTTTTTGTTTTCTGGGAAACACATTGCAGCATTTGTATGCTGGGCTGGCAAAGAATACAAACGCGGTTGCCAACTTGGGAAGTGTCTGAATTCCCATAATGTACTTCCTATGCCAACACTCAGCATCTTCCTTCACGCTGTCTTCGTAGATCACGCAATTGCAATGAAGTAAGAGGGAAAAGAAAAGCTATGCACATCAATGGTTGTGTGTGCGCATTTATATATAGGCATCAAGCGTACTCTAAATTTATTGAAAATAATATTTAATTTATTGTTACAAGTTCTAAAATTTGTAGAATATGACTATATCTACTAGCTGCATTCCTATAATACTATTTAGCATCACTAATATTGAATATTAATTAGATTGTGACAATAAATGAATCACTTAATTTCACATTTCATTAAACTTATCACATAACACTAAACTGGTGTTATAGATAACATTATTCATGAACTAAAATAGAAATATTCATGAATGAAGATAGAAATACTATAATTAGAAATAATTGATTCGTGCTCCAATATCTCCAACGTACTATTTAAAAGTTTATATTTTCTTGCTCACAATGGGAAGTCTTATTCACCCACTTGGAGATAATCGTGTTTACCTTTCTCATATTTGGAGAGTTTGTAAGTAATGCTTTCTTGCCAAATCAGGAAGTGAGTAGTTGTATCCTACTCAGGAGAAGAATTTCGTATTTTATAAGTCAACCCCTAAAATTATGTGACAAAAGACTTTTCAAATTAATATTTTAAAATAGATAGTGAATTTGACTCTCTAAACTTGAAGAGTTAAATCCATTTTCCATAATTAAGCATATTCAAAATATTCCAAATTTGAATACTTCATATATTAACCAACTAGCATATATACAATAAAATGAAGGGATGATACAATAATTTGGATGGAAGTTAATAAAAATGAAAGATATAAAAAATAATAAATATAAATCGGGAATAGTAAAATTAAGCTCGTGTTTGATAGGGATTAAAATCTAGATTTTAATTTAAGTCTAAATTCAATAATTAATTTTAACTACCTTTCACGTCACTTACAACTTTTCAACCACACATTTCATTAAATCTATTATAAATCTGATTTTAATCCCTACCAAATAGGGACTAAGCGTTAAAGATAAAGAGGCTCTTGAAGTATTTAAAAAATTTTAGTTGATTTGAAGAGGTTAAGCCTTTTATAAGTGGTTAAAAAAATAATTTTTAATATAATTCATAGTCCACGATTATTCTATGCGAATCCCATCGAAATTGGAATGAATTTGAACACGAGTTTTTTTACTTACCCCGCCCGCCACACACCAAGTCTTTTTTTTAACGAAAATTAACTTTAATTACTTTCTTATTTATGCTAAACACGAGTTTTTTCAAGTCGTCACCAACAACCAAGTCTTTATTTAAACGAAAATTAACTTTAATTACTTTTTGAATTGCTGCAACCATACAAGTCTTTATTTATACCACAATAACTTTTTGTATAACTGCAACTTGTTATTGTAAATGGTATCAGTAATGACCAACCAGGTCTTTATTTAAACAAAAAATTAACTTAATTATTTTTATATTACTGCAATTTTTATTGTAAACCATCATAATTAACTTATATTAGTTTTAATTATTTCCACATGTTATTGTAAGTGGTATCATTATTGGAATATAACTATGCTGACGACGCTAAAGATAGCTTTCAATGTATTGTTCCACTAACCTCGTATTCCCTTTTTAATCATCAAATTGCAAGTCTTGAAAACCTTAAAATACAACTCTAGAAAAGGGACGTATTGATTTACCGTTCATTTGACATGACTTTTGAAGTAAAAAATAGCCTCTAGGATTGTTTCGATATTTTCTGAAAGTATTTTATTTGATTAGAAGAAGTTTTAAGGGAAGTTGGTCTAGTTCATGACTTGAGAGCTCTCGGAAAAGCTCAGCCTTGCTTATGAAAAAGGAAGTGAAAGCAAATTAGTTTCAAGTGAATATGTATATTATAGAACGAGAAAGATGAAATTTGACAATTTCCACACTATAGAACAATTGGAAAATTACAAAAATGAAACAATTCAATGTATCTTGGGACTAAATAATTTTTAGCATACCTACCGCGACTATGGATGTTAGCAACTTTTAAAATGTTTAATAGACAATGACGTACAAGGAAACTTCCTTGTATTGGAAATGAGAATACAAAAAGAATTTTATTTTAATAATTCTAGTATTTTTTATTCAAAATATCAGGAAATTAAACTAAAGAGCTGCATGAAAGCATTGCTTCAAAATAAATTTATTATTCTTAAAAAATGACCTCTCCAAACTTGGATAAGATACAGAAGTGCAAGGGTCAACAATGATCATCTTCAATAGATAAAATGTACTCAATTAGAAATTCCAGAGGGATATCAAAATTTTCTAAAAGTAAGGTTGAGACGAACTGGTAGAAGTTTTGCACGTTCCCATAATGAAGGAGGAGCTGTATTGTGGATAATGGATGTCACTCAATGGAAAATATGTCTGGTTTTGCCACCACATATATCAGCACATCACCAGATTCTAGCACAACTTTCTCAGCCTCATTAACACCTCTCTGATTGCTATATAAGAACTCAGTCGAGTCGCCCACAGATAATCAGACGACATGCAATCCTTTGATCTTTAGACTCTCACTATAACAAAAAGGGCTTTTTGCAACACGCAAAAAGCAATATTTGTTAATTAAGTGTTAAATGGGCATATTGCAACATTCTATTAGGAAAAATCCATTTGTACAGAAATTCACTAGAATACTCACAATGAGTGGCCTCATCGTGTATTTTAAAAAAAAAAATGCACGGGCCCCACCTTGTATGAGTGTTCTGTTGGTTTTGCTTCTGTACATGAAGCAAAACTCATTCTATTAAGTGTATGTGGTCATTAGTTAATATAATTGAGATTTGACAACATTTTTTAAATACATATTGCTAATGTCTCATTTTCCAACGTTCTTAACTGTTGTAAAAAGTTTACATGTTTTACAACGTTCAATGAATGTTGCTAAAACCTCATCATATAGCAACGTTTCTTGCATGTTGCTAAACAATTAATATGTGGCTCTTCTGCAACATTTGTTATCCGTTGTCTATTTTGTATGATTCAAAAATACTTAAATGAAATTTTATTCTCAACATCATGCATTACCAAATGTCTTTAGTTATGTTGCTTATTTTGCGTATTTTAATGTAAAAATATAAAAACAACTTTAATTATGTTGGCTAATTGCTGTAAAATATAACAAATGCAGAATTAATTAAAATAAAATGTAAAAATGACCTATAACAACGCCCAAAGAATATTGAAAAAAAAGACGAGGATAAAAGCAAAGATCAAGAAATGTTGCGAAAATGTGACCACAAAAGTTATTGTTGGCAATTGTGTATCCAGTGACGTAGCTAAGATTTCAATCATGCACGTTCTGTAGTTGCTGTTGAAATTGGAAGAGTCAAGACAAGACGAATCAATCTATCAACAAGATTATAACTCATTGATTTTCTTGTCAATGCCAACAGTTGGCACACATCGGGAAGTGTTGTCAAATTTTTAAATTGAGAATTACGCTGAACTTCAATTTGATATAGCTCCAATTGATCTTTCAAATACAACTTCTCTTGATCTGCAAAGTCAGCGGGATAAAATTTATCTTCAAGTTTACATATATTCTGAACATCAAAAGCCTTGTTCAATACCTACTACTCACAATATAATTCAAATCAGTACTGAAATTCAATGTTCAATTCAATTCTCTGTCGCGCAGAGAAGAGATTTGAGGAAGAATAAGGGGTGTCCGTAGTCGAGATTACATTTTGTGGGATGTGGCCTGTGGGTATGCTTTTGGGTAATTGATTCATAAATGGGTCATTTGCTTTTGAATTGGATTTGAGCTATTTATTTATTTAAGTAACTATTTAATCTTTTGTTTATGTCTAAAATTTTTGTATGGTTGAATTTTAAAGTGTAGGTTATTGAGTCAATATTTATTAATGGAATGAAAATTTTTGCGGAGCGAAATTGAAAAATACATTACAAATTAACTGGGAATAGTGGACCAGCAGACAATGTTGACCGCCCCCTATCTCCGTCTCTACGTGTAACGTGTATCGTCAAAGCCGACTAATAATTTTCTTGGCCCGATAAATATTACGGTGCCAAATCTCTCACCAAAAAAAGTTGGGCAAAAAAAGAAAGACATCCATCGACCTTTTTAAATTGGTCGCCAATGTGTCTCATCTAGGCCGACTACTATATTATATTGGTCGGTAAATGTTAAAGCTCAAAATCATGGACAAGAACGAATCTGGAGTGATAATGAAGAACGTTGCAGAATCAAATGGCTGGAGTTTACAACCATATGAATCAGCCGCTAGGAACTTGTATGAGAGTTAGCTTCATTGGGTCTTCTTTCCAGGCGCACAGATATAAAATCTTATATTTTTTATATACATATCACAATGTGGTAAAAGTATGTAGCTTCTGTAAACACACGCTTACTGAAAGCACGACAAAAATTATCCATTTATAGATTTTATAATACTAAAAACAAAAGCTTGCCAAAGGCTAGCAATTCCTATAATTTAAATGAATTTTCACTGATCAAAAAATAGAAAACTTTGCATTGTCTTGTCATCTTTCCGAAAATGTCCATCCATCATGTAACTTTTTAAGGCTCTCGAGACCATGTTCGCTCCTATGGAATTGGCATTGCCAATATAAATTTATGTTCTTAAAAGTATGTGCAAATTTCAGAAGGAAAAATTTCAATTCCAACATTAATGCTCCAATTAGCCACCAAACATGGCCTTAAAAGTGACCCAACTGACCAAACTACATATTCAGGGCCTGGAGTTCTTTAAACAATCTAAAGAGAATACCTAAATGTTTCAGATATCTTAGATTCATCAGTGCCAAATCAAATAAATAAATATCTCTCTGACAAAAAATATTGTTCCACTTGCAAAAATTATTTCTAAAAATATAAATGAAAAATGAAAAACTTGTTATACATCCCGGACCACTTCAAGGATTACTTATTTAGTCTCAAATATATCACAGGTGAAAGCATATTAGTTTCAAGTGAATAT